TTTAAATTAATAAAAGTTTAATTTAAATCCAATTGAAAAATCTTTTTTATTTTTATTACGGTATAAATAATTCACAAAAATAATACAAATTGTCATCCTATCAAATGTAACCTTAATTTTTTAATACACGTATTGAAATGATTGACTAAAATTTCAAGTCTTCAGTTATTGCATAAAAAATTATTCAATAATTTAAATATAACTTATGTCTAGTTATATAAAAACACAATTAATAAACAATAATAAACAATAGATCCTTATTAAAAACACATTGCAATTACTTTTATCATTATAATAATTGGCATTTGATTTCGTTTCACTTTATAATATCGAGTCATGAAAATAATTATAATATAAATCTTAAACATATAACAAATCTTTATAAAACACTAAAATCTATCAAATTTAGCAAAAATAGCATTCAATACCAAACATTATATCAAATGTATAGTCAATTTAATTTCCATTTCAGTAATGCATAGATTTAACGGACGATTAAGTTATACCTAAAAACGCGTACAAATCAATGCAATAATTATAATCAATTCATACGAACAGACCTCCCTTTCCCATACATACGTGTTTGGCTCACAAATGTCTGGGCATTTCGCAGACTTCGCAATAGTTGAGCGCCGGGTGATTCTCGACCGTACACTTCTGACACACCCACCCCTGGCCTTCATCGCTGTTATTGCGCGGGCCATCGCCAGCACCGGGAGGTAGGGGCGGAACCGCGGCAACCGCGCCCACCATTGGATTGGACTGCATCGACATATTGGGCGTTCGAGGGCTGGCGCTGTTGGGTCGGGGCGGCAGCTGTGGGGGTGTTGTCGGGTGATTGTGTGGCAACAGGGATGCCATCGAAGGCATCGGCGACTGTTGAATAGTAGGGGACAGCCATACAGGTCGGGGCGCCGGCGGCACCTGTCGTAGTATATCGGTGGCGGCCGAGCTCCCGGTGCCGAAGCGTAGCGGCGGCGGCGGGAAGTATACGGACTCCTCATAAGTAGGCGGTTGAGCGGGTCGTATAGGCTGTACGGGGTATGGGAGCTGAGTGTTAGCTACGGCGGCACCGGCAGCCGCTGGAAGTCTCGGAGCGGGTCTATTGGCTGTGGGGAAGGGAGGTCTGGGCGCCGGCGGGCCGTAAGGACCGGGCGGTACGTTATTAAAGAAGCGGTCGTCGGTGACGCCCAAAGGCATTCCTCCTGAGGCGTAGAGATCCACTTCCATCGACAGACAGTGGCACTCAATACGGAGCGCGCGGTTGTCTTCACGCAGTTGCGACACCTGTTTGGCCCACTCGGCGCCATCAGCCGTGCTTTGCCGGCGCTGCGTCTCCAGAGTCGACACCTCTTTGTGCAGAGTCTGCAAATGGATCCGCAGTTTCGTCGTCTCGTTGCGGATGTGCTCCAGACGTGTCATTTGGTGCGTCTTCAGGGCTATGGTTATAATGAGACAACAGAAGGACAGTTAGCTTATGGTTAGGCGTGTGAGTGTGTGTGTGGTGTGTGCCATACCCTCGACGTAATTGAGTTCTTGAGAGCGACTCATGAGGTGCTGGTATGTGGACATTGTCTGATGAGGCGAGACATTCATGTTGTGATTCATATTAGAGGCCATTGTATGGGCCGTGCGATCAGTGCCCGTGCGAGGAATGGGTGTATTGCGTGACCACTGGTTGCTCACCACATCAGATACCGTTCCCCGAGTCCGTGGAGTGTCGGCGCCCGCAGTGGTGGTCGCTGTCT